GTTTCACATGTATTACTAGTATTACGAGAAAATGCATTAAAATTCGCAGACGGTATGGGGAAATGCTCACTTTAGTAAAACAATGTTTGTTGATGGCCCTTGAGTATGACTCCTGGTGTCTGTTTGACGTGAGGAGAGAAGCACCTTGTCATAAGCCAGCTTGATTAAACTGTGTTATCATAGGAATATGCCCTTCCTTCGTTCTTTCTTCTTTAACAAATAACATCGTTTTCTCTTAATACTTGTCTACGATCTAGATTTCATCATAAAACTTGTCTACAAAATTGACTTACCTTGAATGTTAATCCAATTCAAAACATGAATGAAATGATAGCGGACACGTATATAATCCACATACAAAAATATACGTTAGTTTAAAGGAATGACATATGCAAGACAACCCTCAACTGGCAGTGGTACTTGGATCCTTAATCTATAAAGTTAGTTTTTTCCGGCAGTGGTACATGGAACCTTAAATTATAAAGGGTTTTGTTCGGCACTGGTACTTATAACCTTAACTTATAAAGTTAGTTTTTCCGGCAGTGGTACTTATAACCTTAACTTATAAAGTTAGTTTTTGGCAGTGGTACATGGGTCCTTAACGTATAAAGGTTTTTTTCGGCAATGCTACTAAGATCCTTAATCTATAAAGTTGGTTTGTTTTCGGCAGTGGTACATGGTTCCTTAACCAATAAAGTTAGTTTGTTTTCGGCAGTGGTACATGGATCCTAAACCTATAAAGTCAGTTTTTCGGCAGTGGTAATTGGATCCTAATCCTATAAAGTTAGTAGTTTTTCAGCAGTGGTACTTGGATCCTTAAACCTTTTTATATATAGTTAACTTGTAATTCATCAGTTTTAACATTGTTTATATTCATTTCATAATACCCCCATATATACTTAGTATGTATTAAAGAAAGAATGTTGGTAGTCAACTAGACAATGCTGCCAGAATATAACTAAGTATCATACATTGTATGCATACACTATAATTCCCACAGATAAGTTATCAATCATGAATTAATCGCTGCACGTGACACATTCAGCATTATATTTTATTCTATGATACATTCGTGGTAGTTAGATTAAACACGTACACATGTGGTATTGATTCCGTCTGTAAGTGTGACTGTAATGTAATCCCTGTTTATGGCAGTTTTAGTTCCCTGCCATCAGCCGGTATCGATTGTTCGGGGACAGATATCCAGCATTACGAAGCGTTTTCACAAGTATCTCTTGAAACTAAATTAAACCGCAAGAAAAACTAAAATTCTCGTGAATTGACAGAAATAGAAGAGAATCTCTATTAAATAAATCTCATTAAAGACCGATGTTTATCAACCACGCCAAATACTAAAAATAGTACAGGTAAATGTTTTCGTTTCTTGAACCTGTAGAGCTCTGTGGTCGAAAGCGGCGGATAACGATAAAGTTGTCAACCAGCATCGGAACACTGCGGGAAGGTTGTGGCCAGTCGACAGCCTGGAATTAGTGCAGCCACTCGGAAAGGAAACATGATGTCACCAGAATGATGCCACCAAAAAGCGGAGCTTGTAAAGTGCTTCAAGGCGAAAGTGGCGGATAGTTCTGATCGTACATTGATACAAGAAGACCAAGAAGGCGGGCGTTGTCCCTCGATCCCACGTGAGGGTATTGATGCCAGTGGAAGGCATGCTATTTGATGCAGTCGAAAGCGGAGGAAAACGCTGACACACAAAGGCGGGGACATTGATGCCAGTCGAAAGCGGGTGATAATGTTGACACACAGAAGCGGGGACAGGGATGCCAGTCGAAAGCGGGTGATAATGTTGACACATAGAATCAGGGACAGGGACAGATAATATTGTCAAAATCGGGAACTGATTTCAGTCAATGTTACCCCTTATAAGTTGATGCTTTCAAATTGCTGCAATAGCCTTTATTTATTTCACAACAATTATGATACATATTAAGTTATTTAAAACTATATTAGTCTTGTTGAACTGCATATGTGCGCATTGTGGGGATGAGTTGAGGTCTTAATGTGGGAGGAAACCGGAGTACCCGGAGAAAACCCACGTGTTCGGGCAGATGACTCCATACCCTTTCACATCCGATCGGGGAAACGAACCCCAATGCCATTTCTGGTTCTTTTAGTACATTTACATTTCATCATATTTTATTGAGTAAACAATAGGATTGAACAGCAGGCTAGGCCTATATAAGTTCTCTCCTTAGGTTGACATGACAAAGACAAAGATGAATGAAATGGTTTGTATGAAAATATTGATGCAAATCATATATAATAGGTAGCATAGACATATATATATATTTAGCAGATGGTATAGGGGAGATAATTCCATGTATCTTTCAATTACATATAAATATTTAATTGATATTTTTAGCTATACAATGCTAATATTAAAAAGTCAATCATAATTAATTAGTAATAGGAAAGCAATGCCCTAATGATATATTAAACAGAGAAATTGCTACAATTGTTTTTTTGTTTTTTGTTTTGCAAGTCATTAGTGCCCCCTGTTCATACCCTGCTGCTGTTGCATGAAGTAGTTAGAAGTATAGAACCATTTAGTATCAATATATATATCATTGGTAGGAGTGATAAAAAGTAAGGGATACAACAACATCAAAATATGAAAAAATAAAATGAGGCAATTCAGCTAGAAGATTTTGATAATGTAGTATATGTGTAAGATGTATTGCCAGTGTTCTATGTGTAAATCTTTCATCCCATCGAGTTTCAGACAGTATGGATGAGACATAACTGAAGTGTTCCTAGAAGCGATTTATTTCGTGTATGCATTTGTTTATCGCCTGCCTACCATTGTGACGATGACAGTTGAGATGCCTTCGTATCAGCTACTCGTATCATTATTATTATTTTTCTGTAAACAGCTTTTGAAACTACGAATAACAAATATTTAGTGTGCCCTTTTGAACATTGGTATTCAACCAGTCTTCCATTTTAATTGATACTCTTATATTATCCAAGTTGATGGAGATACTTCATTCCAAACAGGTTTTCAACCTATTAGAGGACAGCTTTGTCACCCGGAACATTTCCTATCGTGTCCCTTTCACAGGGACTTGAGAATTTGTTACGGCTTTATTTGGACCTAAACTAAGGTGTTTAGAGTAATTTTACATGTTTAAGGGGTTTAGATCGACTTTCGGTTAAAATGCCATCTCCAATGATTCTATATACGAGATGTGTTTTAAAAGAAAATTATCCATCTTTCCAAAGGCACAAAGCATTTTCCCGTACTTCAACTAAAAATTTAACTCCTAAATTTAATCATTAGGTGGCATTTTAACCAAGAGTCGATCTAAACCCCTAAAACATATAAAATTACTCTGGACACCTTAGTTTAGGTCCAAACATAGCTGTAACAAATTCTCAGGCCCCTGTGGTCCCTTCGATTTCTTCCACTTCTTGTTTTGTTCGCTATTTTTCGTGTCAGTTATGATGTTTAACATTATCGTTACGGGGTATCTTTACATAGATCTTTATTTAATTTGCAATATGCAACAATGCCTTTGTGCTTTACACACATTTAAACATGACAATGACATAATGGCAATAATAAATACATATTTACATGTATTTTATAACAGCAAAATAACACACATTTACAAGGAACATATTCATCCACAATAGTAAGCATGAACACAGGATGCAATAGACTTTAACAAAAGCGAAGGATGCAAGGAATTAATTTGATTTATCTATGTAGTAATTGTACATGTATATAAAGCCATCAGATTTATATGCGTGGGCACCTGACAAGAGCACTGCAACATCCAGGTGGTACATTTAAGGTCCTGCATTTCTTTGTTACCTTCTGATTGATCGAATGGACCAGATGGATAGCGTGACGTGAAAATTGTTCGAATATAGGATGTTAGTTAGTACGGGGGCTAAGTGCAAACAGTTTACATTTGTTTTTGTGTGGTGGTGTTTCTTTATCCCCCCCCCCCCCCCCCCCCATATATTTGTGTGTGTTCATTACCGTATCCCCTGACTTACAAAGTCTTACGTGTTATATATCGCCGTAGTAACTATTTCATATTTTGATTTTCATTTCTCTTTGTCGATCGGTAGTTATTGGAATTAGCGTGAACTTTACAGGGGACGATAGTTGATTATATACTTGACTGGTATAACGCCGGGAACAGCCTGTTTTTAACACATGCACATGTACAAATTTATACATCCGACAATTTTTATGAAAATAATAATGGAAATGAAAAAAGAAAGAAAAAAGAATAATGCCATGCTTACCATAAACAAATTTGAAATCAAACGGCAAAGTAATAGGGGAAACATAATAAAAAAAAACGCTAAATAATTTAATGCGTCTCTATATATTTTTAATGAGGCTTTCCCGTACAAATCGAGTGGTGAAACTGGACGTTTGGAATGGACTTTGACATTGGGAATAGCAGGGAAACATAATTGGCTTTGCAGACAACACTCAACAACTGAAATACCGTTTTTGTCCCTTGAACGATAAAAAAATATTTTACGACTTTCCCCTCAGACACTAATTAAATCTATGAAGGCTAGATTACGTAAAGGGATACATAAAACACAGACTTCTGATCTGATTCCGAGGTGTAAGAGCTATTTTTTGACATGTATGCTGCATCACAATACATCGCGATGTATTAAAGCAATGAATACACACAAATATGCCACACATGTTGGTTTTAGCGGTCGCAGCATCATCAATCGCATAGCAACATATGTACTGTGCAGTGTTATATGAAAAGTCTCGAGATGTTCCGAAAAGACGCACCTGTCATATTTTCTGTCAATTTTCCTATGGAGCTGACTATTCTTTCGTGAGCGTAGGGGAATATATAAGGCTGTACGTCAACCTATTAAAGTAATAAAATAACTTCTTTCTGTATCAAGGTGAAACGATACATCATTTACATACACGTGGTGAATGCAAGATACGTCGCAATCACCTTCTGTTATTGAAAAATGGACTCGTCCAATACAGAAGTTTGTATATACCGAAAGTAGGGCCGACTGCTAAGCAAGACATAACGACACGGTGTAAGTGTGTGTATCATGGATGGCTGATCGTGAATATTGGAGTACGAAGATAGTAAAAACTTAATTTAGTGGTTATCATTGAATGTGACCGGCGATGAAACGACGAGAATTACGATGTGTGCAAGGCGCAGTATGTTTGGTTGGTCTCGTGTGCCTTTTCGGCTGGGATCGACTTGGACTTCTCACGTTTGACAGGTCAGTGGATGACTGGCGACATGCAGGTCAGGTCGCAGACACGTGGACCAGTCGAGGTAAATATCATCTATGAAATAAAAACAGAACTCAACTAACATACATGCTTATATGTAAATTATAAATGACATGGCTCCAATCCTACATATCGTCTGATGATTAACACTGCACCAGTATAAACATGTCAGAATCTCGTTAGCTATATCATGTACCGAGTTCTAGACAGTGATGAGGTAATTACGGAACGCTACGTTGAACACCACTTAGCGATAACGTGTGTTATATATCATATACTAATTTAACCATGAGTGTCTTATTGTCTGATCACAGTCCAAGTCAATCACACGGTATATCAATTAAACAGGATACATCATATTTATAGTGAAGAATGTTTGGATAAAGTAAAAAACCCAACAAATAATGCTTTGTAATTGGACACTGCATTTAGATATGCGTTTTGCATTTTAATAAGCCAACCCTGGGACATATTCTTTAAATGAATGCTACGACAGCCAAGTTACGTAATAACTCGCATAAACTGCATGGTCACTGTCAAACTACCATAGATCCCAGCTTCTACAATGGTGTTGGAAAAAAGACAAGGTTTCTGTATTTTTTAAAATTATATTGGAGAAAAAATGAGATGGAATATTATTCCCTACAAGTAATACATAGGGAGGAAAAACCACAGGTTGGTCCTGATTCATGTTTTTTTAAAATTATTTATATAGAGAAAAGATGACAGACAGATGTTGTCCCTTTGTTACATTACATAATAGTTTTCTATCCAGCTAAATTATTAACCACACTAAACCACTTTACAATACATAGATAATCAATTAATATAATCAATATCAGTACCTTGCAGAAGTTGCCTTATAAGGCATTATCACATAATGTACTGTGTTATCCAGTGAATATACCCCATGTCATATTTTTTTTTGCATATTAACCTATCAGCCCTGTGATTGGTTGTAAGTTTCAATTGTGACATCATGTTAAGGACAAGTACATGACGTCATAGACTTACACACTGGAGTCATAATGGCGGCTTTTTACATTTCAAGGTTGCAAGAAAATTGTTGTTTTACACGAATAAATGCCACAAATCTTGATTATATGATTAAAAGGATCTTATACTCGTTTTCATTTCATATGAAATTTTGTGAAACTCATCACAAATTTTTCATTTTAGCTCACCAGAGGCTCGCTAAATTGAAAAATTCCTAGACTCGTTTCATATATCTCATATGAAATGGAAACTCATGTATGAGCCTATATTCATATTAGTGGTCTTAAGCTGATTCTGTTTTGTGCTGGGACCATGATATCAGCTGATGATATATTTCTCTTGAAGTACAATTGTCACATGAACAAATCCATTGACTTTGACATGAGTATACCAATCAAATTATTTAAGACTGCATTGTACAAGTTCAACCAAGCCTCAGGTTTGACAACAATTGTTGGCTAGTTAAACCACTGACTGTACACTACATCACTAGTACATTACTATTAGTGTATGCTATGTAACTGATATGATCATTCAACAAACTGACTAGTTACATGGAGGTATATAATATTGACTCGGAACCAATCACATGCTAAAAAAGATGAATTAAAGTTTTCAATTAGTTTTTTGACCAATGAATTTAATCATTTGCCAATTAAGTAATATTCTTATTACTTACATACAATATAGATAGTTGAAGGAGAAAAATACTCAATTGTCGCTGAAATGGCTAGCAGATTTTTGTTAAAAGCCTGCTGGTTAGACGCTTGTCCTTTTCAAGCCACCAGTCCATAGAGCAAATTAAAAAGGCCTGGTAGTCCTTGAGGACAGCATTGGTCTTTATAGAAGCCAAGTGATGGGAATCATGAATTGGGGGTTGTGTTTGTAATTCCTAAGTGATCTTCATTTTGTAAATATCTTCAATAGTTTATGAATAAGACATTTTCCCTTAATTGAGGAAGATAATTGATTGCTAATTGAGCTACTTCACAGATTTGTATTCGTGCATATTTGAATAAGGAATATTAGGTCTGTTTTTGTTAGTTTGTTAATACAAATGTAGGCAGTGTTGTGGAGATAATGTAAAGATAATGGACATAAAGTGAAGGACAGATAATGTAAAGATAATGGACATAAAGTGAAGGACAGATAATGTAAAGATAATGGACATAAAGTGAAGGACAGATAATGTGAAGATAATGGACATAAAGTGAAGGACAGATAATGTAAAGATAATGGACATAAAGTGAAGGACAGATAATGTAAAGATAATGGACATAAATTAAAGTGAAGGACAGATAATATAAAGATAATGGACATAAAGTGAAGGACAGAGTTTGAAATGGGTTACCAACTCACCGTTGGTGTACGATCTGGAATAAATAAAGATAGATAGCAGAATAAATAAGGATAGATAACCAGCAGTACTTGTCAAGCATTTATGGGAATTACATGTTATTACTTGTAACCTGGAAACAGGGCTTTGTCCAGCATGATTAGCTTGACAAGTTTAAATATAATTCTTCGTTTGGTTTATGTATAGAAAATATTCCTTATTCCTTTATGCTGATACAGTTTGTGAACAGATTCAAGAAGGATCTGTTGACATAAAATGGTTTTCTCAAATAATTTCTGAAAGTTAACCAAGCTTAAGACAATGCCTATTTCAGTGCGATTTACAAGCTTTCTGTACTGTTGGGGATTTGTAATTGTAGTTGAACCAAGCGATAATTAATTGTAATTGCTGAGAGAAAGGTCCTTCGGATGCGTCATAGCAGCGCAGACTGATGATAACCGTTACACCATCATAAGACAGGGTAAACATTCAACAAGGTTTCCTAGCTCCCACAGGTCACTATTCTCACATGAAGATTTAGCCTTTCAAATTTTCTAAATAGATTCAATTAAATAGAATTGGATGACTTCTATGGTAATGAACGTGGATTTACTCCAACAGTGAAAGGGACTTTTTACTGTTATGTCAGCACAACTGGCCATGAATGTTTGTTGACCATATCTTAAAGTTGACGATTGAAAGAGCAGCATAATTAGACCAATGATAGGCCCTGTGATACCCATCAATTCCGTTAATATACTTTTTGTGGTATTACATGTTTATAACACTGCTGTGATGATATGAAGACAGTGTCCTCTAATGGCGAGACCACCGAGAGGCCACCGAGAGGCCATCGACAGGCCACTATAAAGTGTGTCCCCCCCCACCCCCACTGAAATGCCGTAACGTAGACATTTTAGCATGACAACATACCCATTACGTTTTTCCGTCAATGTGTAAACAAAGGTACCTAGGGAGACACCAATGAAAATATTGAGAAGATAAGACAGAAATTAGGGGTCTCACCGTCCTGAGTGTTGTTATGGAGGTGGTGTGTCGATTCCGCTCTTTTGTAAACAAAGATTATTATTACGGACAGAGGGACACAAGGACACAGGTACCTATGGATGCACTGACAAAGCGATTACTTCTTAAACCTCCCCCCCTCCCCTCCCTTCCCCTCCCCATCCTGTCCCATCACACACAAATACTTACCTAATAAGGGGGTTAATCAAAACATTCGCTAGTACCACTTAACATGGTTTCACGACTGATTTTGTTGATTGACATTGTACAAAGTTGTACTTAAATACAATATGACCCTAAGGTGTGTGATGAGATCTACCAGCGTCAGTTAATTAATCCATTCCCAGCTATTTTTATCTCTTTTTCCTGTCGTTCTTATATTACATATCAACATGTTAATGAGATGAAATTGTTTGAGTATTTTATGATAAATAACTGTCCAAAATTCATTAATGTCGGTTAATGTTTAATTTATATTTTTGCAAAGGTGAATATTTCTTTTCTATATGTTCCATTAGGTATATATTTTTTTTAGTACATGTACATATACTGGTTATGTTAATATGCTTCCATTCCTGTCAGAAACTAGCAGGGAAGTATCATACATTATAAATGGGGCATGGCTCAGATTCCATTTATTCTGATGTTATGCCGCCATGCGTGAAATATGTTGTTTTTACTGTAGAGTGACTGTTGCAGCTGTCTATTCACTTGTGATACCAAACGTTGCTAACGGTGATTAGACGATATGTTGTCACCGAGATTAGGATTTGACAAGGTTTTAGACACTCACCTCGATCACGTTATAAGAGGGCATGTCCACTTCCAGACACACCAAAAATCTCAGAGTTGCACAAAATACAATATGCAAAATAATTGGTATGCGGTTCCAGACTGCATGTTTAACAACAGTGAACTAGTCTGTAGATATCCCTTATATTAAAGAATATGAAATTTCTGCAACTTTTGTCCAATTTTTGTCCAAATTTATTAATTTTTACTTTATAATAATAATAGTTATATACAACATTTGATATAGTGTCCTATCTAGCTAACATAAGCCACTCTAAAGCGCTTTAAAGTACGTAGATATACAATTAATACAATAAGCATGTATACATTAATCAATAGTCCTATGCCGCCTGGCTAATATCTCCCTATGTGTGTATGCCTGCCTGTGTGCTGGAGATGTAACGTGTTCTGTTTGTAGTGGGACCGTGCTTCCAACGGCATCATTTATAGTGCCATCTCATTTAAATGCTACAGCACAGATACCACAACATCCACCCCAGACCATTTTCTACTCTATCGGTGTTATTGGAGTTGTATGGGCAGGAGAAAAACACTTTCTCTGAATATCCATGCATAAGACGACTTCGGGGATCGAACCCCGGCCGCCTGCGTGGACGGTCGGAGTGTTATAACCACTCGACCAATCCGCCCATAAATGAAGACGAAGATTTACTACTGATTTACTTTTACACTGGAAGTGGACATGTCCTTAATAGCAATCACGGGACTTTCATTTCGAAAACTTCTGTCTCAGAAATGTTGTATTATGAACATGTTTTATAACAAAAAAGCATAAGAATTACCTGCAGGGTTTTAAAAAACCCCAAAAAAACACCCATCATGTAAATGTGGAGAATAATTAGTTCACACAGTTTATTTCTTCAAGTTCCATA